TGAGGCTCTGAGCAATTGTGTCACGTTGTGTTCCAGCAACTTCTCAACTCAATGATTAATTCACTAACAATTATAGTATCCGGTTATATTATAGTCCGAAACCTAAAATTTACAGTTTTGAAACATTATTTGAAAATAGCTGATCGATGAAAAAACTTTGAATATGCACACAAGACAGTGGCGCATGTTAGTGGATTTTGTATTGGTCAAATTTTCTCGGAGACTATCTTCTTCTGTTGGAGCCCACACATACGTAAGAAAACTTGATTGTTACGCCAAATTAAATGTTTTACTGTCCAAAAAGGACATTTTCTTGTAATAACCATTGAGAATTTTCTTCTAAAAAATAATAATACTAAATACTTAAACAATACACTTGTTGTGATTGCCACTGATTTTTTTTCTTGTATTTATTCACAAAATGTAAGTACTTTATTAAGTAGTAAAACTATTATGATTATTACAGTTTGTTATAACTTTATTGCTTATAGTCTTTCTATAGATTCGATAGTAATTACGATATTCTTTGTGGGAACTATATAGCTTAATTATGATCTATTCAATAGATTTCGTTTTCAGCAAACAAGAAAAAACTGGTTTTGTTCGTTGCTTTTACCAGCGATAATTTTAGCAGCAGCACAGGTCTACAAATCACAATTTTTGTGTTAAAAAAACACACACACATTTAAGTACGTTCGATTGCCAAAAAATTCTAAGCAATCAGTTACTAACATGATTTTTTTTTGTTAATTACTAATATAAGTTGAGTAAACCCTAAGACCAGTTAGATAAAATAAAAAGTAACCACGGTCATGGCATTAATCAAATACACGTCAGCTTCTACTGTAGTAAGAAGTCACTACTATATTGTTTAGCATAAGAAAAATTAATTCGAAATTAACAAAACCCAAGACCGATTTAAAACTCCCTGTTACCTATTTTCTTTTCTTTTCGAAATTTCACTTAAACGAATATTTGATTTGATTAGTTATGAACTTATGATCAGTCCAAGGAAAATGATGTTTTATCAATTGTAGTTTGTCAATAAATATAGCATATAAACTGGTTAAAATTAATATAATAATAAAAACCTAAAAAATAATTTATTAAGTGTAGGCTCTGCTGGTCTAGGGTTTCAGGCTGTGAAGATAGAGGTCCCATCAAATGAGTAACAATAAAATGGGTCTCATTTGGTGAACTCTTTTCATCTTCCTCCTCTCCTCCGAGAGAGCAAAAGGTGGTGTGTAATGAGGTTTTTTTGTTTGATTTTTAAAGAAAATAAATGAATGATGACTAATCTTTTTTTTAATGCATTTATATAGATGGAAGATCAATATTCTCATGGAGGTCGAAGCAAAACAAGAGAAAAAAAATCAGCTTCAACATCAAAATCTCAAGCCACTAAAAAAGACAATGTGGTAATTTATGTTTCTTTGACCTTTTTTCTTGTTAGAAATTGAGTGTTCTCTTACATTTTATGTGGGTCTTAGTTTACTGATAGTAACGATCGGATTAGTAATTGGGTATGAAAATAAAACAAAAGAGGTTAACTTTATGTTGTTAAATTTTATTTGATGTAACAGCGATTGACAGAGACTGATCCTGATTATCCAAAGGTTAAAAAACTCTTATCTAATTTTTTGGTTTTCTACTTCTCTTACTCATTATATCTATAGCTAATACTTAACAAATCTTGATTTTTTTTGTTTAAGGATATCCCAAAAGGATCCAAACACCAGGAAAAGTTTTGGTGTGATGAACTAAGAGAGGTCATGAATCAAGGTGTTAGACGTAAGTAAACAATTTGACTGCATGAATGAATAAATACGTAAATAAAGATTTTTCAAATTGTCCATTAGATGTGTTTTGTCCCAAGAAATAGATCAATTTATTATTATTATTTCATCTAGGGTTGGAAAATCATTTAGGTATTGAATCTGATTTTTATATTATTTTTCATGTTTCTAGTGTTCTAATAAAGATATCATCTTGTGTCTTTTACACAAGACTTGTACAAACATGCATTTCATATTTTATTATGGATGTGAATTGATGTATACTACGTTTTATTGACAATCTTCTTTTTATAAACGTGAAGGTGTTTGTTGGACTGTGGCATCAACAAGAAGCTTATCGGCTCGGCTTTGCATTGAGAAAAAAGTTCGGTCTCTCAAGTACTTGTCACTCCTTCATCTTTTGGTGGGTCTTTTTGACAAGACCGGAAAAAACGGAGAACTGAAAGACTTAGGGCATTTGAAGAAGTTTCTAGAGGAAAATGGTGCTATTTTGGAAAAAGATTGCAAGTGCACTGATCCACTGATTGAAATGAACAAGAAAAAAGACTAAAGATAAATCCAAGATTCCTACACCGGTTCTGTGCACCGACCAACAGAAACACAAGGTAGCGAAAATATGTTATCAAAACCCTTACCATTTAAAAAGGTTTTTCATTGCATTTGTAGTGCTACTTTGACTTAATTAACAATTATGGATTTTTGTTTTGTAGCCTAAAAGTGTGTTTAAGGTTAAAGAGTTGATCGTGTTGTCCAACGTAGATGAAGAGCATCTTATCCGATTGCTCAACAATGGTCCAGTGGCAATTTCTATAGTATACCATGTAGATTTTGCAAAATTTACCGGGGTTAGAA